GACTTCAACTCCCAGAATTCTGGGAGCTAGAACAGTGTTTTTCAAACTTGGGAAACTTTAAGATGTGTGGACTTCAACTCCCAGAATTCTGGGAGCTAGAACAGTGTTTTTCAAACTTGGGAAACTTTAAGATGTGTGGACTTCAACTCCCAGAATTCTGGGAGTTGAAGTCCAGACATCTTAAAGTTGCTAAGGTTGAGAAACACTGGGCTACTGATTGGGGAGATAAACAGAAGTCACCCCATTGAGTGATCTTCTTTAGTTCCTGCAACAACTTGGTGGCCAAATGAAAATTGCCGGACTCTCATGAGATTGCCTTTGCCAAAAATTTCTTATGCAACTTCGGTTGAGATTTCAGCTCAGCGTTCTCTGAATCACGAAATTAAATATTGGCAATTAAAAAAAAAAGAGTTTGGGAGGTGGCTTGATTTCCCTAATCCCCAAATTATAGCACTTCATCGTCTGGAACCCTCCAGCCATTTGGACTACAGTTCCCATTTGGCATGGGGACTGTGGTACGAGTCAACTGGAGGGCATTGGGTGGACGAAATGGAAAGGTGAGGAGCTAAAAAGCAGGGAGGAATGACCAGAGGAGGGGAATGAAACTGGGTCTTGTTCTAGTGTATGAATTCTCCCTTTCTTTCTCTCTCTCTCTCTCTATTTTTGGTTGGCAACTTCAGCATGTAGAGTCCTGATTTCTAAGCTTCGCCTCTGTGTATTCACCAACCCCCCTTTTAAAAAAATAAGATAAAGATAAATAAATCAATCCTTGTCTCTGGAAACATCACAGAAACCACTTAGCTTTGTGGGAATAACTTGGGGAACATTTTGTTAGAGTGAGTCACTGTGGTGGTCATCCAAGTTCCATCCTTTCCCCCAAGTTAAATTTTTCAGCGGGTCATGAGTGAGTGTGCTAATGTCTGCAATGTATTTCCGTCTACATTTTATTGTAATTTTTTAAAACATTGCTTCACTGGGGCCGGTCTGTTTTTCAACCAATTTGGCATTTTCGAGAGCATGGCGTGGGCACTCACACAAAATGGCAGCTGTGGCTTGCCTTTTCAAAGAGGGGTTGAAAGAGGCACGTGGATAGCTTCCAAACTTCCATTTACCAGAAGGTGTGATGGTTCCCCATTGCCTTGTCCACCCCCCCAGGAAGTTATTTAGCCCCTCACATTATCCCTGCCTTTTTTCTAGGCAGGTAGATAACACTTTCAAAGTCCATTTTTAATTTTCTAAGACAGCTGATGGGGGTGAAGGGTGGGGAGAGAGAGCAGAAGATGCTTGGGAATAAAGGTGAAGATGGTGTTTTGCTCTACAGAGCCTGCCCCCCTTTTTAAAATGGGTGTGTGATCTATAAGAAAAGCTGCAGACATGTTGGGGTCCATGGACATGGCATTTAGCACCTCCGATATAAGGAGATAAATGGAGAAATCAACAGAGAAAACTTAACTTCACCCTTAAATGTAAATTAATAATTTTGTTCAAGGGCAGCAGCTGTTGAAGTTCTGAACTGAACCTGGGACCCATTTCATATCCATCTTGCGCACCCCTGTTGAACTTGTAGGGACTCCTGAGAACAAGGACCAGTCCAGCCCGCTTGACTTTAATTCTCAAAATGTGCAGTTGTACAGTGTTGTACTGAAGACCAGCAGGGCTTCCCCCAAACCTTTAACCAGATCATTTAAAAGCTGGTTTGGTTTTAATCCTGGCATGCTTGTTGATTTGGTGGCTTATGGTGAAGGAGGCATTCCAACACATTTGGCAAGCTTGTGGCATGGCCTGTGGGTGAATCAAGTCCTAGAGGAAGGCAATAATTAGGTTGAGTTTTCTAATTAATTAATTTGGTTAATCGTTAGGTTACATTTGGTGCATGCAGCCAGTGAGAGAGCATCAGGAAGATGAACAGAGTTAACCCAGAGGTACAATTCTGGACAATTCCCAAGATGGTGGTGTTTGAGGGGTTTGAGTGTGGCACCTATAAAAACGGGTGGAGCTTCAATCCCACCACTGTGGCCACCATCTTGAATTTTCTGACCATCCCCTATGGACACTTGACTGTAGGTGTGAAACTGGAATAAAAATGGTGTCCACCTTCTGCCTATCTTCTAGTGAGATCGCAATCAGAGAAACCTAATGAAGATGAACCCCTCCTCCAAATAATGTTCATTTAAGTCATCGACCATTGTCCTTTGCTCTTGCTTCACTATTCCTGCAAGGCTAAATCAGTGGGCCCCTGGCCAAACATTCCCCAGATTTGGGGATAGAGAAGAACGTATCCCAGAGTCCTCCCCATCCTTGTTTGAAATGGCTGCAAGATTGGAACGCTGGGCTGGAGAACATTGGGATGGACGTGTGTGGGGTTCAACAGAGGCAGCGTGGAGGGGTTGGGGGGCTGCCGAAGAGAGAACGCCAGAGCCACCGCCCCGAAGAGGAAGAGCCTTGAATGGGGAGGGGGGCGTTGCAGAACGCGGCTTAAATTTGCCAGTTGGGAGCCCACTCGCCAGGGGTGCGTCCTTCCAAGCGCATTGGTGCCCCTTCCCATCTGCCCACCGCTGCCCACCTCTCCATTAATGGGGGGGCAGCAGTCCAAAGCATCTCCAGTGCTTTCCCGCTGGCACTGCAGAGAAAAAGGGAGTTGGGTTTCTCTCCGCCCGCAGACCCCTCGTTCAGCCCCTTTGTGTGCAGTGGGGAGACTTCATTTTTCCGCTCTGCTGTACGGCTCGGTTCCCACAGCCTCTTTGCGTCTGGAGCCAAGAGACGGGGCTGGTAGCCAACAAAGAAGATGTGTTTGTTTGAGCTGGTCTGAAAGCTTCTCCCCCCCCGGCCCCCCCGGCCGTGCTCAGCCCCCTCCCTCTGGCTCCGTTAAATGTAATTTACTGAGCAGAACTAAGAGGCTGCGAACAAGAGCTGCATTTTGTCTTGGTTGCTAAGCAATGGAATTGGCACACAAGGGTTTCCTTTTTGCTGCCTCGCTGCCCCCTCCCCAATTCTCCCTGGCCCCTCCACCCTTTTCCCGTCCTTGCGTGCCAAGAGACTTTCTTCTTCCTTTCTTCTTCTTCTTCTTCTTCTTTTCTTTTCTTTTTTATTAATAACGTTTAGTTTGTTTGCGCCAAGCGGAGGGCGCTGGAAGGTGCAAAACCTTTTAAGAGAGAGAAAAACAAGGGGCTTTACTTGGCTAATCTTGTAGGATTTGGCAAGTCAAACCACACATTGAACGGGGGCGTTGGTTGCCAAGGAAACAGGGGCCTGGAGTTTTTTTTTGCCCCCCTCCTCGGCTCTGTGCAGAACCGATTGAATTTTGCATGGGCTTCGTGCGTCATGTCAGGATATTTATAAAGACAAAACTGCCCATTGAGTTTTGGGGGGGGGCAATTGCCAGTTTGCCCATTGTGTTTAGGATGGGGGGGGGCAGAGCCCTCCCTGTGCAGCGACAACCTTTTTAAAGGCTTATTCACAATTATTCTTACGCCAGCAAGAAAACATGGAGGACGCTGTTCGATGGCTTGTATGTCGTTTCAGTTAGCTGCGATCCCCCTGGACAGGGTGCAAACGGGGTTAAAAACATGCAGGAAAAATAAAGGGATCGAAAGTGACCATTTGCAAGATTGGGGGGCTCTTCTTTAGGAGAAACCCAGGTACAACGATCAGCGGGGGATTATTTGAAACACCTTTTTTTTTTAAAAGGCTTCCAAGGGCCCACCGGGGTGACCGAGAAGGTGGAGGACGGACAGAGACCAAATGTCAGGACCGAAATAAATAAATAGTAAATAAATAAAAGGAACCACTGACCATTTGTGATGGGAGGGAAGGCGGGTTGAAGCCAATAATCGGCCAAGTGGAACAAGCTCGACTATAATCCAGATCGGCTCCGTGATGAAATGGTGTTGGTGCCCTTGTAGATGCAGAATCGTTAGGGATCAGCCTCGACCAGGGGCAGTTTTGCAGAAAAGCAGGGCTCCCGTTCTGCTTTCCCCAAGAATTGTGGCTTGCCGGGGAATTGCAAAAATAGCTCCGTCGTTTTCCAGAGACGTGCTCCCTCCGATGATTTTGTGAACGTCCTCTGCTGTAATTCGGAGCTTTGTGTTATTAATCATTTTGAAATCTGGCCATTATGCTTGACCACAAATCCTATGGGCTGTCTTGTGATCGTTTAAATTTTCTAGTGAAGTGTGTGGTGTAGAGTTTTTGTGGGGTGAGCTGTACAGTCCTGAAAGGCAGCCTGTGCTAATTACCTCTATTTTATATACTGTATTTTTGTCTGAGGCCTCATTCAAAACTGGTAAGTGAATGCGGCTTCTTTATGGTCCTCATGTGCAGAAATGCATGCACCTCTGTGCAACCTCTGATTTGCCATTTTGCACAACTGCCTTATGGTATAGTTTTGTATTTCAGAGAAATGCATGGAACAGTCTTCTCCAAATGGATTCAGCTCCTATCATCTTTGAGTAACACGGCTGGGCAGCAGGGTTAAGAGAACTACCTAAGGACTGATGAGGATATAGAAGGCTGGTATCTAGAGTAGAACGATCCTATATCTTAGTATATCCAGAAGCTCAGACAACTTAAATCCTAGAACTTATTGTAGGAACACAGAATTCTGGTACCACGCTGGCCATTGTTTCTTTTTATAACCAATTATTTGTTTGTTAGATTTCTGTCCCATCTTTCTTCTGGGGTGACATAGCTCCCTCCCTCTGCTCAGTGATATCCACTCAACAATAATCTAGTAAGGTAATTTGGGAGCAGAACTAGGAATTGGTCTGTAGGCATCTGAAGCTTCCTGATTAAGTGGAGATTTGATCAGTCCTTCCGATTCCACCTGATGTCCTAACCTGACATCTTAACCATTATACCACACTGTCTCTTTGGGCTTCCCCATCAAGGATCCTGGTAATTCTTGGGGAGGTGTCTGGAACTACAACCATCTGTTGGAGGATTCTCAGTGTTTGATTCTATTTAGAGGACGTTGAGCTAGCTTTATTTCGGTTGCCCCTTAGGACATGGACGGTCAGATGAGGACTGTGGGGATGAACGGCCACGCCTTCGAGAAAGCCACCTCCTGGCGAGTCGTCTGGAACGAGACCAGGAGAAACTTCTCAGGTGATTTTTTTTTTATGCAGGTGATACTTTTCCTACTCTGCTTTAGCTCTAAAATTAGACCTTTTCTGCCCGCAGATTTGCAGCCTGATGAAAGATGCAACTCACAAGAGATAGGGACAATTTTGAAAAGGGCAAATGTGCCAGATCTTAATGTTCAGTAGTAGCTCTTGTAAGGACTGGCTGGGAAGAAAGTAGGAAAAGAGGTCATGTCACCAAGGTGGTGGAATCATGCATTTGTCCCCCATTTTGTATCCTGCATGGGGAAATAAACATGGAGTGCGCATCGCGCATCCTTTTCACTAGGCAAAAGGGTTTGGCAGCACCGCTGGCCAAGTGGGGAGCTAGAGAAGTGGTATGTATTTATTTACAACACCCTCATGCTTTGGAGTATTTTCGCTCTATGCAAGCCTCCAGAAATAGCACCAGGCATTTCTTTCTAGTTAATTGTTGGGGATGAGCTATTTAAAGATATATGCTGCTTCCCTCGCGCGTGATACAGGGGAAGGAGGAGGAGCATCATCCTCATCCTCATAAGCAATAATAATGTACCAATACATTTTAGCAACAAACACAAGAAAAGCACATCAAGCCACAGTGAAAAACAGCAGGGGGGGGGGGAAATTGCCAAGCAAAAAACAGATAAATTCAACAAGCCACTGATCTAGTCTAAACAAAAACATTCTTGCTGATGGAAGGACAATTGAGAACGGGCTGAGTGAACTTCCTAGAAAGTTGCAAACGTTATCCTCACACTACCTGCTTGCTTTGGGTTTTTCCAAACTATGAAGCTCCTCCACCGGCATCTTCCACCAGCAGCTGAAGTGTCTTGTTCCTTATCCTGATGAAGAGTGGAAGGCCCACAATTGAAACCCTCAAGGGTTTGGATCCCTAAACTCTCCTCTCTTTTTCCTCCAGAGAAAGCAAAGAACTGGCTGATTTTGCTCGGATACATCCGGCCACCTGTGCTACAAATGGCTTAAACTCCAACCTCATGGTGACTGGGGGGCCACCCCTGACAGGTTCAGGGCGGTGGTCTGGTGACCCAGCACCACACCTGGCGACCCATCCATGGTTACCCAGAAGCAGCAGTTCGTCCATGTGGCTTACTGGCCACCCCTATGGTAAGGTGATCAAGTGAACACAAAGTTGGGCTCTTGTTTTGTTTACAGCATTATGGCTGGTTGCCATCAAGCAGGGGTGTGCAAATGTTTCGTTTTGAACTGTTTCCCGTGCGAAACTTCGCAAGATGCCCTGTTTCAAACACCTTGGTGGTGCTTCAAGTTTGAAAAATGTTTGAAACGGCCTATTTCACATTCTGTACTTAATATTGTTCACCCCTCCCCACTGTCAAGTCCTTACCTAGCATAGTGGCTGGATGGTTTCATTAACCCATCAGTGGACCCATTTCCTTGATCCTTTCTAAAGTTAAGTTACTTGTGATTTATAGTTTAACGTTTACATGACTCCTGTTGGCCATCAGTCCTGATCTGCGTCTCCCTTCTTCCCTACAATCAAGATTGGGAGATTGTCTTCAGGCTTCCCCCTTTTATAAATAAAAAGGAAAACAGGTTACTAATTCTCACGGTTAGAGGTGGGACAAGAAAAAGGCTTTCCAGTACATTTTATATCAGATTGAAATCATAATTTTGTTCCAGTGAATTTATGGTAGGCTTGTAGATGATTTTGTAGGAGCAGTGAAGACAAAACTTGTCCTACTCTGTGCCTTAATTTATGGATGCAACTGTGGTCATAGTATATGTCAACCTTCCAGAACCGGGATGGGACAGATGGCTGGGAATTCTAGTAGATGCATTCCCCATATATCTGGTGGGTTTAAGGGAAACTTGGTGTATAAACACAGATACAATCTCAGGAAAGCAGAGAGACCAAGGAAAAAGTTCTGGGAACTGAGCAAATTAGCATGGCTTCCAGATGTTTTTCCCATTACAGTACCCCATCCCATAATTTCCTAATGCCCACCTTTATTGATTGTTGGAAGGTCTGCCATTTTGCATTTTGCCCCTTTCAATTAAGTTTTCTAACAACAACACAAAGCCACAAGTGTAATGATGTCCAGCAATCTCCTTTGTGTTTTCATGCTCTTAGAAAGTACATTCTTTTCAGCTTGTATCTTGTCACTTACATACTGGGCACCTATGGTGAATCTGGGATACCTCCAGGTGACTAGAATGAAAAATGGCAAACCAGCTGCTTTATTATCCATGCAAATGTGTGTATTCCTGGGTGACCAGTGGGAGAATCCTAAAATATGTTCGTTTGGGCATAATCCCACATTGTCTCATGAGGTTTATTCAGTTGTAAGGTAAGGTAGAAAACTTTTGAGTCTTGGAACAATTCTGACTACAGATTTCCAACCACATGCAAGTGGTGCTGGGAATGGAGGTTGAAGCAAGTTGGAATCTAGTTTGCCGCATGGATGTGACCTTTGCCCTTTTTACTTTATGGAATTTCTGTTCTGGTCCTATTTTTTTTTAGGGCACCCTTCTTTGCACCAAGGCATGGCTCCTGGCTTTCCTTCCAGCATGGGGGGAGCACTGCCTTCTGCATACCAGTTTGCCAGAGATCCTCAGTCTGGCCAGCTTGTCATGATCCCCAGTGAACACCTGACACACTTTGGTAAGTATCCAAGAGCTGTGACCGTCCAAGGCAGAACCTATTGCAAGACACGGGCACATTTTTCACATTTATAGAGATTACAGACTTCATTTTGGGGAGAGATCTTTGTAGACCTTCACATCCAGATTTCTTTTTTAGACATTCAGTTTTATGGATGACCAATAATGTGGGTCTTATTGGACCTGACCCCTTTCTTCTTTCTCCAGAGAGCACACTTTTTAAACATGGTTGTTTCCATCCTCCTGGGATCTCAGAAGGCATTGTTCCTGACCTCATTAGAATACAGCTAGTCCTCGTTTAGTGACTGCCTTGTACAGTGACTGTTTGCAGTTATGACGGTGATGAAAAACATCACTTTGTGGCCAATCCTTGCATTGATGACCTTTGCAGGTCTGTAAAGCAAAGGAAAGCTGAAATCAGATCATAAGCACAGTCACAGTTTCACTTAGCCCCTGCTTCGCTTAACGACCTAGTTCCCGGTCCCAATTGTGGTGGCTAAACGAGGACAACCTGTAGGTGGGACCAATATTCAGTGCATTTTTAAAAAATAGTTTGGGGGGGGTGATGGAGCAAACAAGGGTAGGAAGCATTCAGCCTGTTTTACAGCTGAAATCATGAAACAAGAGACAACATCACACCACTGAAAAGAGGCATTTTGCTGCTGATTTTATTTATTTGATTGTTTGTTTGTTTACTGTATTGATTTACATGGCTGCCTATCTCACAATTGCTGCTCCGGGTGCTGAACATAGAACTAGAAAACCGACAGAAGAGAAATAATAATAACAACATGATAATATAATGGATTTTGGTAGAGAGATGCTTTGGGGGAGGCCCGTACGCGGCCAACTGGATGGCACGTAGCCCGCCTGCAGGGTACATGCATTGCTTGGTCCTTGGAATCTGGCTTTGACTGAGGTGGTGGTTTCAGGTCGGTCTCTCTTTCCATTCCAGCAGAGCTGATGGACCGTGCGCCTCCTCTCTGGCCTGCCATGTATTCTCCTACCAGGGGCTCCCTCCAGCACGCTCACCAACTCCAGCTCTTATCTCACCAGCAGCTGATTCGTCAGCATGAGCTATACCTCCTGCAGCAACAGGCTGCACACGCCCAGTTGGTGGTAGGTTCTAACCCTTGGCTTCCACTTCTGCAACTGCATTTGGAAAACCAACCTCAGCTGCATCTCCTTTCTGAACCTGGGTGCACAGATGCGATTGAATGGAGAAGATGTAGTTAGATCCTAGTTGTCATTAATTAAATAAAGTGGGCTGGCTTTCCCACACTGTTGTTATGCCTGGATTTTTTCCGGGCAATCTTCATACTGGGCAAGGTGGGACAATGTGTGGCAGACCAAGTTAACCATGAGCAACCCTAACCCTAACCCATGCACTAATCTGTGGTTCTTAAACACTGATGTCTTAAGGTCCATCAGGGCCTCTGTCAAGGAACGTGCTCCCATTATTGTAGAAAGAAAATTGCCTGGGTTTACAGGCATTTATCATTTCTGGTAAGTTGTAAAAATGACACCTTTAAGGACCTACCCTGTGCCCTACCTAGTTTACTTCTGAGTCCACTTTGTGGTTCACGTAGCATCAGTGGAGAACCGATTCAGGTTTTCTTTTCAGATCTCCTTTTTCTCAACAGGAGAGGCTAAAAGCCAGCGAGCAGCGGGCAGAGATGGAAGAAAAGATATCCAAACGGAGCCTGGACAATGCCAAATCAGGTTTGCCAACCTCTGGCTCCAGCCTCCTGCACCGGAAGCCCCCAGTTCTGTCTCCAAGCACTTCTGCATCCTACAATAAGGCGGTCAGTCCTCCTCCCCTATCACCCAGATCCTCCTCCGTGTCGGTGCTCAAAGCTGAGGTTATCCAAAAGTTGGAGGAACCGCCAAGCCAGCCAACCTATTCCTATCCCACTACTCCTATCACTCATCCTTCTAGCCCACCTCCTGCTTCTCCACCCCCTGCCCCTGCCCTTCCTCCAAAAGAAGAGGAGGAAACTGAGAACATGGAGAAGAAAGAGCTGGAGCTGGAAAAAGAGACCTCTGCTTCATACCAGACTTTGTTTCCAGGTACAATGCCCCATTATTTTTTAACCCACTTTCTTCTTTTTTTTAATTTTCTGTTTTGTTCCTTGCTTGCTTCTTCCAAAAACTCCTTTCCTCCCCTGAAAGGGATGTGAAGCTTTGTCAGTAGACAGGTCTGAGGTGTCTTCCGTCATATTATGGAAGTTCCATCCTACTGTGCAGTTGAGTCCCTGACGCTGGTTTACTGAAACCCCTTCCAGTTCTATATCCTGGAGAGAAAGAAGAGACTAAAACAATCTCAGGTTATCTTGGTATTTTAAAAGTTGGGTGCACAGCTGAAGAGTATGGATTTTCTCCATGGTATTGGTGAAAATGATTATTTTTAAAATAGTGGGTGGATTTTTGGGCAGCTCTCGAATTGGTCATGAAGGTCTTAGCCCCACCCTTGAAGGTTTGAGCTTCTTGATCTTGGATGGGTTTTCTCTTTTTTTCTACCGATGGGATGAGTGCATTGCCAGTTTGCTTCCGGGTCCAATTCGAGGAGCTGATGATGAACTTTAAAGCCCTAAATGGCATGGGGCTAGGTTATTTGAGGGACCATCTCTCCCCAGCTACGTCTACCCATTCCATCATGTTTGGCAGAAGGGGCGTGTTGCGGGTCCCGTTGGCCAAGGAGCTTCCTTTGGCGGGATCCAGAAGAGAGCCTTTTCTGCCATGGCCCCACTCTCTGAAACATCGTTCCCCCCGAGGCGAGATTGGCCCCAACCCTGCTGGTCTTCGGGAAGGCCTTCAAAATGTGGATGGGCCATCGGGCTAGGAAGTGCGCAGCCCATTAAATGGTTATACTATATATAGTTAGATTGCACTCTCCTCTGTCTTTTTTTGGTACAATTTTTATTATTTTTTTTTTAAAGATAAAAGGCTAATACAAATCTCTGTCTTTTAATTATTGTATGTTTATATGTAGTTTTAAATTGTTTTTAATGGTAGAAAACTATGCTTTTACTTGTGTTTTAACTGTGTACGCTGCCCAGAGTCATATGCAAGCGAGATGGGCAGCTATATAAATTTAATAAATAAGTAAGTAAGTAAGTAAATAAATAAATAATGAAATAATGAAATAAACTCTGCTTATCAGGGGAAAAAAAGACGTTATTGTTTTTTCCATGTTCCTGTGAACTCCTGTTTGAGGGGCATATGGTCTCAGTTGAGTAGAGTAGCAAGTTATTCAGGGCAACTGATTTGCTGGAAATCCTGGTGCTGAGAAACCATCATCTAGGTTTTCCTGTGCTTCGGAGGATGCAACCCAACAGCCACTATGGCCAAGAAATGGAGCTCACTTTTAGAACAGAGGAGGAGACATTGACTCAAGTCAGTAGTAAAGTTTGGAAAATAGATTCCTGTCACCTTGGTAGGGACTCTCTTCAGAAAATATGGGACTTCTCTTCCAAAAATTCATTTTTTGTGCCCTCTTACAGAAATTCCATCAGGCTATCCATTTCAGTCCCTTCCAGACACCTTCAGAAGACACTACCCTTATCTCCTTCAGCCAACAGCTGCAGCAGATGCAGATGAGTTGGGCCCAGATGTACCTCTGCCCACCAGCAATCCCAAGTGCTTGACTCTTTCTCCGGAGGTGAAGCCCATTCATCTTTCCCCATCCAAAATTGTCAAACCCATCCAGGCTGTGGAGGAAGAAGAATCACTGGAAGAACGGGTGAAAACTGAGATGGAGATGACCAATAGCCAGGAAGATAGCATCTGCGAACAGGATATGGAGGCACTGGATGTGGCAACCTCTGTTGCCCTCCCTGTTCAGGACACAAACGATTGTGGTCTTCAGCTGCACCACAGCAAAACCCTCAGGAGTTCAGACCACGAAGAAGTTCTTGAGGATTGCCAAGCTACCTACCCAGGGATGTCCTGCTCGGTGGAAATGGAAGCCCAAGCAGAAGAGACTGATGACAGTGAAACTTGCGCCGTTCATGCTGACTATGGTGGGAGTTTGTTACAGAGAGACACTGAACAGTCTGAGATGGGACTGGTCCCTCAGTCAGAGAAGTCACCTCTGGCTGTAGAAATGCCACTCATCAGTTCTCCCCCGAACAGGGAATTTCCCAGCATGCTTCAGGAAGAGGAAGAACCCATGGCAGAAGCACCCTGCTACAGGAATGAGATCTTTTCCTGCTCAGTCCCACCTCTGGACATCAAAGTTGATGACCCTTTGGCTGGCATGAATGCTTTAGCCGCAGCAGCTGAATTACCCCAAGCGTGTTCCTTGCTCACCAACAGTGATGGCGTTACCCAGGAGGCGGTGGTGAACTTAGAAGTGTCTTCCAGCCTGTCGCCAGAACACACCTTTCTGCACGGAATTACCCTCTTGAGTGAAATTGCAGAACTAGAGCTGGAGAAAAGGCAGCAGGAAACTGAAGGTGAGAGGGTTTGGACCTAGTTCAGTTCCTGCATGTGGGTGCCAATAGGGTATTATCATCCCTGTGGGTGCCAATAGGATTTTCTGCAATTTCCTTCTTTGATACAAATGTTATGTAGTTGTAATCAAATACTAGAGTCTTGGGGACACAGATCTTTTTTTTTTTTCATAAAAAATATGCTAAACCTGTTTTATAGCTTGAGCTACAATTTTTGCATGGTTTGCATCAATTTTGCACCATAATCTTTGGAGGAGGCTCTGGGGGAGGGGCTGTCATCCTCCCCCCAAGTGGTTTGGAGGCCCTGAGGCCTTAGGGTGTCCCACCCGACTATAGTAAGTAACTATAGTTGGTGCGAATTGTAATTGGCCTGGTCCAAATGCAACAGCAAAATGAGTCGTGAGAAGAGCAAGGGTTAAGCGAACATGCATGTGGTATGTTGGGTCCTTTAGCCCAATGATGGCTTGGTTGCTTGGTCAAATTGGAGCTCTGCCCTGGCTTAAACTTTTCCCTTGGTGCCTGTTTGAGGAATGTCCCTCCTGCTCCAAATAACCAACCCTAATTATCTTATGCAGGTCCAGAGAACTTCTCAGCCCATCCAGCCTTGGAAAGCCTGTTAGCTGCCAGTACCCAGATGCTGATGGAAGTTCTGTCAACTCCCTTTATGGATAGCCTGAAAAACATTCGACTGCCTCGAGAACTGAACCCCAATAAGAAATACAGCTGGATGCAAAAGAAAGATGAGCCGGTGAATAGGCTTGGGAGAGCAGGAGGGTTGCAGAGATGGGAATCGGGGGAATGGTTAGGAAGATGGTTTCAGGTGAGATGAAACTGGAACCATAGGAATATCTCAATAGCTTACTTTACCTTTGAGAAACACAGAAGACTATTTTATAGCCAGCTTGGCTCCGTCTGTCCCTTCTTATTGGAAGTTGCTCTTTGTGATTGGCAGGTAATTGTAAACTCTGGGCATAAAAGTCTGGCAAGCAGTAGGCACTAGTTATTTGTTCCCTTCCCCGCCCCCCCCAGTGTGGTAAACCAGGTTTAGGGCTCTCATGTTCCTTCTGCAAAGTGTGATCTCAATTTCTGCCTTTAAAATGCAGCAGTTTCTCACCTGCTTAGGTGAAGCCCAGGGGTGGGAGATGGATAACCATCCAGATCTACTAAATTATAATTCCCAGCAGCCCCCAGATTGCTTGGACAATTGTGAGGGATGCTGGGAGTTGTAGTTCAATGAACACAAATTGCCATGGCGGGAAAGCAGGCTACAAATGAAATAAATAAGCAAAATGAGCCAGAGAACCAACCTAACATTTGCAAAGCATGTGCTGAGCCCCTGAGCTGGGAACTTTGATTCATATGCTGGTCTGTAACTCTAATAAACTTTAATTATCTAACCAATTAACAAACTGTGATCTGTAGTTCCAAAGAACATCGTTGTTCCTTTAGATAAATCTTTTAGAGCTTTAAATATTAACACCAGTCTTTGTTTTAACTGAGCCCGGAAACCAATGGGCAACTAAGAATTCAAGAATTTCTCCTACCTTCTATCCTCTGTATCTAGATTAGCCCTATAGCTGGCCAAGGATCCTAGAAGTGGCACTCCCAGTGTAAATACCCACCCAGGTTTTGTTAGGAACTTGATTCTGAATTGTAGCTAATGAAAGGAACTATCATATGTTCTGCTTCTCCTTCTCTCTCAATTCTTTGCTGGTTTCTTGCTCTCAGATGTATTCCATAAAGTCGTCCATTGGGAACATGGATGCCATGGAACTGGATTACAGGATGAAGTTAGCTGAGCTGCAGAGGAGGTACAAGGAAAAGCAGCGGGAACTAGCAAAGCTGCAGCGGCGAAGAGACTCTGAGTAAGTCACCCAGGGACGTTCAGATATGCTTCTGCAGCTGCCTGGTTGGCCGGGCAGTGGCACCATCTTTGAGTCTTGCACCATCTTGGCCTTTCTTGTCCCTCTTCTTGTGCTCCATGATGCTCAAATTGGACATTGAGAATGGAAGGGCAACAATGTGGCTCAGCAGCGTGATCCACTGTTTAGCCACGGTTCGGATTCTGTAGGCACTTCACTAGCAGTTGTGGCCTTCCTTGGGATGTTTTGTGTGTAGGTCAGTTTAGAGGTTTGGTGATGGATCACAGCTTTTTGCAATTTCAGTTTCTCCTCCTGCTCCTGCTCCTGCTCCTGCTCCTGCTCCTGCTCCTGCTCCTGCTCCTGC